AGAGAGAGAGAGAGAGAGAGAGAGAGAGATGATGTTGTCACCGGTGATCTTACACTGTTGTCTTGGATGAAGCGTGCAACATTGCTTCGAAGTCGTAGCTACAGAATTATTCATAGGCAGATCATGTGGGATCTGTTTAAATTGACTTTCTCAGTCAACACTCAGGTCACCTGTTCATAGTCAGAGGTTGAACTTTCACACGATCAAACACTTGCCGAGCTCCTTTTCCTTCGCTTACTCTGATCCACCTCAGTTCGTATGAGCTGAAGCAGAGCTAAACTGTCACTTGAAATGGAGAAAATATAGCTACCAATTCAAGGAATGATGGCAATTGCTCATAAGATGATATTTATACCAGTCGAACAAAACCTATCAAAAGGAAGTTGATGACATCCATTTTGGTGTTCCATAAATTGGCAATTGCTTGTGGAATGAAACATCCTTTTGGTCCGTTCTCTGTCATCTCCACGCTGTTGCTTATTAACGGGAAGAAAGCGATTGGAAGGTGAGAATTAAATGCAAGAAGCAAAATCCAGCTGCAGAAAAGTTAGGAGGTAGGAGATAACACACAACACTGTACACATAGGAACACTTGGGATTGTACAGAACTTGATGACTCTTTGAACATCGTTCATGAGATTCTCTCATATGAATCAGTGCAAACCTTCAAAACTCGTGGAGCCATAGTGATGGCTACATAACTTGGTTTGCAGAGATTCTTGCAGTCATATGCTGCCAATCTTTATCTAATGTCAATCAATACACAGGTGAAAATGACCTTCATTTCTCTCATCTCTCATCTCCTGTGGCACATGAAATGTTGGAATGTCTTGTGGCTGTTGCATGTGGCTTAGAAGGTGCTTAGTGTCTTATCTTCCAATCTTAATTATCTGCAATGCATGGGTTTGATATAATCTCTTCTCATAAATATTAATCTGAGGGCACAGAAATTCACAACTGCAGTGTGTCTACCGAGGAATGATAGATGCAGTCAGCTGATAGATACGTGAGCTATCCATGTGGTCCGGCCTTTCTGAATGAGAAGTGCGAGGAAAAGAAGAACAGCTGTTCTCTGACAAAAGACTGGCAGACTCGATCATGTCTCCAACTCCTCTCTTCTCTTTACTATGGAATTGTAATCTGTGCTTCGCAGTGATGGATGTGTTCTCCGTGTTCAGATGAAAGCAAAATTACATCAGCTCATGAATGGGGATCCATAGGTGATGAGTTTGAACTTAAATGATCTGAATAATGACACAATACATGCACTGTGGTCCTCTCTCGACAATCTCTCTTCCCTTCCCCTGTCACGCTATAAATCCACAAGAAGACTAATGTCATGTGCAGAGAGAGGAACTGCACAAACACAACATTCCTCCCTCCCTCTTTTCTGCTGACTTATATGCCCACTGTCATTAGTTTAAGTAGGCTTGCCGCAGGTCGTCCATGGCAATTCCACTCCTTGCCTTGCGTCCTCTTCCCAAAGCCAAAGATTCCTCTTCTTCTCCCCGCTGCCTCTCCCACAGCAACCACTGTGTTCCGCCGGTTCAGGTGCTGACTTGATCTCAGTTGGTCTTCCAGACGCAAGAGCTCAAAGCAAGGAATGAGCAAGCACGAGCTGTCTGACGTTCATGGAGGGTGCAGCCTTCCATGAGCTGTGTTCTTATTTTATAGCACACTGATTCGTCCCGAATCACATGCCAACTGGAGCACTAAATCCTTCTTTATGCTTTCATCTGTTGAGCAGCTCCATTCCTTGCAGAAGGAAGCAGGTCTTCCCATACCACCTTCCTCCATCTTCTCCTCTTCCTCTTCCTCTCTTCTTCTGCAACTTGAGACATGAGCTGCTTCAAAGCACCAACATGAGTTCCAAGTGGGTGATTACGACAACTCATGCAGCTTTGCTGTGCTCCATTCTTCTCCTCCTCGGTCCAGCGCTGGGGCTGAATCAAGATGGAGCGCTGCTGCTCCGGTTCAAGTACTCCGTCCTTTCCGATCCCCTCGCCGCGCTCCGGGACTGGAACTACGACGACGCGACGCCGTGCTCGTGGAACGGGGTCGTGTGCACCGGCTTCCCTGATGGCGGTGCTCCGACCTTGGCCGCTTCAAGAGTGATCGGTTTGGTTCTTCCTAATTCCCAGCTCTTGGGCTGCGTGCCGCCGGAGCTTGGTTTCATCGAGCACCTCCGCCACCTCGACCTCTCCGGAAACGACCTCAACGGCACCCTCCCCGCATCCATCTTCAATGCGTCGGAGCTGCGTGTGCTTTCTTTGGCCGCCAACGAGATCTCTGGCGGCCTCCCCCAGCTGGACGGCCGAACGAGCAGCCTCCTAGTACTCAATCTCTCTGACAATGCACTGGCCGGCGCAGTGCCGACTGGTCTCGCCCTCCTTCCGAACCTCACCGTCCTCGCTCTCACCAACAATTACCTCTCCGACGAGCTCCCCAGCGGCGGGTTCAGCCGGCTCGAGTACTTGGATCTGAGCTCCAACCTCATCAATGGCTCTCTGCCGCTGGATCTCGGAGGGCAGAGGCTCCGGTACCTGAACCTGTCTTACAACCGGATCGCCGGGTCGATCCCGCCGGAATTTGTTTCGAAGATTCCGGCCAGCGCCGTCGTGGACCTCGCGTTCAACAACCTCACCGGAGGGATTCCTCGGAGCGGAGCTTTGGCCTCGCAGAAGCCTGCTGCGTTCGCCGGGAATCCGGGTCTTTGCGGGAAGCCGCTCAAGAACCTGTGCACGATTCCTTCCAACCTCTCCGGTCCTCCAAACACCAGTACCGAAGCTCCGTTGGCGTCCAAGTCTCCTCCGGCCTTTGCAGCGATGCCCAAGGAGGCTAATGAGATTTCTCCGGCGAGTAGTGGGCAGCAGCAGGGGGGCCTTCGGCCGGCGGTGATTACCACGATAGTTGTCGGGGATGTGGCCGGAATCGGGCTTCTCTGCCTAGTGCTTTGGTACGTATACCAAGTGAAGAAGAGGAACAGAGTGCAACAGCAGATGAATGGAGTTGGAGCTATCGGCATGAAGGAGGAGCAGCCACCGGCTCCCCCTGAACCCAAAGGCCTCGGAGGGCTACCATGCTGTTTAAGGAAGAAGGGCGGCGAAGAAGACACCGAAGAGACCTCGGCGTCCTCGGTCTCTTCCGAAACGGAAGCAGAAGAGGAATGGCGTCTTCAAAAGAGAGGAACGGAGGGTGGCGGCGGAATAACCCCACCGCAGCAGAAGCAGCAGGCGCCTACTTTTGTCACAGTCGACAGCGGGTCGGAGCTGGAGCTGGAGACTCTGCTCAAAGCCTCAGCTTACGTACTCGGCGCCAGTGGGTCGAGCATCGTCTACAAGGCAGTGCTTGCCGACGGCACCGCCCTGGCCGTCCGTCGAATAGGCGAGAGCGGTACCCTCCACAAGATGAAGGACTTCGAAGTTCTTGTCCGCAGCATCGCCAAGTTCCGCCACCCGAACCTCGTCCGCTTGCGGGGGTTCTACTGGGCCGCCGACGAGAAGCTCCTCATCCATGACTACGTACCCAATGGCAGCCTTGCCAACATCTCATTTACCAGTAAGTCTCTCCCCCCCCATCGTGTTCTTCTCCCTGATCTCCTCCTCTTCCTTACTCACCATGGGGTATTCGTCGCTCTCAGAGAAGCATGGCTCGTCGCCGTTTCATCTGAGCTGGGAATCGCGGCTTCGGATAGCCAGAGGAGTGGCCAGGGGACTGGCCTACCTCCATGAGAAGAAGAGCATGCACGGGAACATCAAACCAAGCAACATACTGTTGGAAGCAGACATGGAGCCCAAGATCGGCGACTTCGGCCTCGAGCGCCTCACCTCAGCCGGCGGAGGCTACCGACTCAGCACATCGGCCCGGCTGTTCGGCAGCAAACGATCGGTGCAGTCCCAGAGAAGCCTACCCGACCTATCTCCGCCGCCAGTCGCCGGAGCCAGTCCATGCGGGTCTTCCTCCGCTTCAGCATTGGTCTCTGCGGCTCCCTACCAGGCGCCGGAGTCGATGAAGAACCTGAAGCCCAGCTCCAAGTGGGACGTGTACTCCTTCGGCGTGCTGCTGTTGGAGTTACTGGCCGGAAGAGCGTTGTCGGAGGTGGAGCTCGGCCAGTGTAACGCGGGGTTCGTGGTGGAGGAGAGGAACAGGGTGGTGAGGATGGCCGACCCGGCGCTGAGGGGCGAGGTGGAGGAACAGCAGGAGGCTCTACTGAGCTGCTTCAAGCTGGGATTTGCTTGCTGTGCGGCGGCGCCCCAAAGGAGGCCGTCCATGAAGGATGCCATTCAAGTGCTCGAGAAGTTGCCTCCTTCCGCCTCGTGTTGATCTCTGTAGCAGAATTAGGACCGTAAGCCATTAACCTTCGTCATTGTAACACATACTAATTTGTTTGTGTTGATGTGCTCAGTGTTTGGGGTGATGCAGCGATCACTGTGTTTTTATTTTTCTTCTATATTATCCTTTAATTTTAAGGTCACACAAAATTGCTCAAAATTATATATATACATATATATATACATATATATACATATATATACATATACATATATATATATATATATGTATATGTATATATATATGTATATATATATGTATATATATGATGTAGGTTGCACCGTTGCAGCGAATAAAACATTATAGGATCCCTCAACCGTCGCATCGCCTCCCTCGATCTCTAACCCTCTCCCCAAAATGTCTCATCTTCCCCTCTCAAAACCGTCTCACCTTCCTCTTTGCCCGGGCTTCGCATCTCCGATCGTCGAGCCCAAATGCAGGGTTTTGGTGTTGCGGATCGCTGGTTTCTCTTTCGTCCGGTGAAGAATCTGCAGAAGGCAAAGCTCCCTCAGGTACTTCCTCAATTCCGCCTTTCTTATGTCCGTGTCGATCTTGAGATTGTTGGTTGTCTTCCCGGAATTGATCGTGTCAAGGTAGAAACACCGGCTGGATGAGAGAGAGAGAGAGAGAGAGAGGGGGGGGGGGGGGGGGGGCACGGGTCGTCGTAGGTGGCAGCATTTAATCGGTTTCTTGTGCTATTCTTAGGAGTTCATCTGATGGATAAATGGACGGAAATGAATTGTGTCGATTAGGGCCTGAGAATGAGATCAGAGGCAGCAAAAGATGCGTTTCCTTTCTTCTTCCTTGTTTGGTATTGAATGCATTGGAGATATCCTTCAAGTGTAAGGGGTCTAATGCAAGTACATGGAATTGAGACGAGCAGGATGGAATCTGTTAGCTTGTTGTACAGCAGATTTCGGATGGATGAGTTGGGGTTGCGATGACTCCAATACCAGACCCTCGGTTCAATTAAATTTGGGATCGGAACCAAACCGGTAGTTCCGATTTTGGAACCAGCGGCTCGGTTTTGTCGAATTTGGAATCAGAACCAAATCGGTTTTATACTGGTCCGGTTCTGGTTTCGGTTCGAGCCCAGATAACCTATTTTAATATTTAATATTTATTTATTTATTTTTCTAATTAATCGTTTATTAAGTTGTTAGAAGGGGTAGATTTGTTATTTGGAGGGGCATTTGATCGTTTAGTTTTAATTTTTCTTATCGATTCAGAACTGAACTAAAATTTCCGGTTTAAGTTTCAGATTTCAAGAACCATAACCAAACCGGTTCGGAATCACCGAACAATTGACCAATTCAGTCTTGCTTTTTAATCGGTTCGATTTTGATTTAGTTCTGGTTTGAACCGAACGATGGTCAGTCAGGTCTAAGTTAGAAGGTGACAACATTTTAAATCTGAAATGGGAGGATGAATGACTGGATATAGGATTCGGTGAATATATTATCACTAAGTAATTTGAGTTGTATGGTTTGGACTTATCAAGTTAATGAATTGAATTTTCTATCAGATTAATTAGTTATAATTGGTATTAGATCGACTTAGTATTAAACTAAATTAAGTTGGATCCCATAGGCCTTGATGAGAATGACAAGACAGAGATTGTTTTTCCCCAGTTTAATATCATATTTGAAGGAATAGAAGAATAGTGACTCAGATGAGCCTATCATTGTTAATTAAGAGTTGAGTATTACCCACAAAGGTAATGAATCTAACACTAAACACTAGGCTTAAGAAAGATCGTAATAACCCCCCAGTCGAGTCGTGCATTAGAGTGATAGGGTAAATGTGATTGTAAGGCTCGAATTTAATCTCAAATCTTGGCACTTTCCTGTGGTCATTTCCTCCAAACCATGCATGCATTGTTTAAGAAAAGATTAGAGAGAGAAAGTAGGTGAAAGGGTAAACGCTTACAAGAGAATAAATGTTACATAGTGGAAAGGGTGTGGAAGTAGAGGCATGCCAGTAGTTAACACGTTATATGAGTAGCTAAATGACGGAAGGTTAGATTTGAACTCTTAAATTTTTAGTAAGTAGATTTTGGTAAGTAAATCTGACACAACATCATGATGCAATTTTTTATAAGTGAATCTACATCATCACCATCACCATCACCAGAAGAAGAGGAGGCTTCAAATCAGCGATTTTTAATAAGTAAATATGGTATATTATGATCAAACCAATAAATTTTGCTTGGACGCTAGACTTGGCTCATCCTCATTTTTCATCTGATAATTCTATTTCCTCCATCGGCTGACGCATGATCTACGCTTAAGCCATGGAAACTGAAGGCCGAACAGTCTCTTGGCAGAGATCTAACGTTAGGTTTTCAATACAATTGATAATTGGTCTAGGATTAGCTTAGTTTCAGCTAATAAAAATATTCACAGTGAGTTCTTTTGATTGTTCATCTAACAAGGAGACCCTCATATAATGTTCCAAAATAGTGGATAAAAAATAAAATCAGATACTATTCGAATCTTGAAATATATCGATCAGTATAGATACACACACACACAAAATCCACTTTTGAATGATCTTTCCGGGTTTTAATTTAGGTTTGTTGTCCATTTTGATTGTTGACTCGTTACCATCATCCTTGTGCCCTGCTTGTGGTCTACGATGGTAATTGAGACCATGCATGAACTGGAGGCTAGAAAGCTCCAAGGAAAAAAAATAGTACTGGGATCAAGAATGAAACAACATAGCCAGCCAGGTTCATGAGAATGATGCTTAAGAGCAACAGACAGTACCTGGATATTGTGCTCAAGGAAGTCCAAGTCTTCGTCTGCGAGATGACAATGATGAACCCACCTTGCCATCAAAGTTTATTACATGTGCATAATGGTCTTGCTATTGTGCATGATAGACTCTTGAGACTTCCTCTCTCACTGTAACATGGCTTCTGACAACGGCAAGGACACTAAAATTGCACCCAATAATATGTTCTACCAACTCAAAGTCGTCACTTTTCTATCATGTTACAATAAGACATGTATACCATGAGAACAACAATCCTTATCCAATCTTAAATCTGTTAGGATCTTGCTTCAGTAGATAGGAGATTGTTAACTGGAGGAGTACATGCCAAGACGTTATATAAGTTTCAAGGAACATGGATTTTGTACCAAGCTAACAGGATAGATACGTCAAAAAGAAGATACCGGAGCACAGCAAAGGGGAAACAGACTACGCCTCTCCGGGAGACAAAATGTGATGTGTGTACGTACCGGGGGCGGGGGGTTGTGGGTAAGCCTAGATAAGTCGGTGCTGCGGCCAGCTATCACCGAAGCTGGTGATTGAGACGGTGTTAAATCGAGCCATGCCTTTTTAAATAAATCGAGCTGGACAACCACGGAAGCAAACAAAAAGCGGGAAGCCTCCCACCATGCCTCTCTGGCGCGTGTCAGCTATGGGACTGCCGGACACCTGAAATCAAGGCGGGAAATGCGTCCTTTCCCTTCCGTACCACAACCCAGCACTGTCCAACCAACGGAGATAATTCTGCGGCACCACAGAGAAGATAGGTTGACAGAAACAGAGATGGGGGTTAATTACATATTTTAATTTTAAATTTTAAAAATATTAATATTTTTATAATTATCAAAATTAGATATTTAATTTTATTTATTCTAATATCGTCAATTTTACTAACGAAAGATACAACACGAGATAAAACTTACAGAATTATCGATTTTGTCATAAAATGATCATTTAAGATGTTATCGATTTTACCATCTATCGTGATGTCTTTATGTTACTAGGTAGGTCTACTAGTGGTCGCCATGCTCTGTCGCCCTCCTCCGGTAGCACCTCCATCTATTTCCCTTGTCGACACATGCACATCCTCTCATCACCATCGATCACGCATGTGCATTGGTATTCTATCTTAGCCAACTTCTCCTTCCCATTGCCCCACCTCCAGGCAATTACATCGAATGCTTTTGCGGTTCATAAGAATTGCACCTTTGTTGTTGTAGGGAAGCCACCGAAGATAAAGAACGCATAGCATGTGAACTTGTGGCACTCGTCACGCTCCCATGCCATGTTAGACAAGTGGACCTATGGCATCAATTGTTGCATCGTAGGTTAGCATAAATCTCAATATGTTCTTTCTCTCGTTATTTTCGTCGTTCACAAACACCATTCTATGCTCCTTTGACTTGGTGTATGCGAAGGAGGAGCACCACGACCTGGACATGATGACACCATGCCATAACATGGATGTTGTCATAGAAGGCTTAGGAGTGGCGATTCATTTTGTTAACCACTACCAGCTCCCTCTAAACGATAGCCAATCAATAAGAGAGTAGGAGGCTGTCGGAGCAATAGGGGATTAGTGTCAGTAAGGTCCAGGCATCGATGGTCGACTCAAACAACAAGAGATGAAAAATTAGGCGGGACGGAGAGGATTATTGCTAGAAAAAGATGGGTTGGGATTGGACGAGGGTGACAACAGGCTAGGTGAGACAAACGAACTTTCGAAGACAATGGAAGCAAGACAAACTCAAGATAGTGTTATCATTGATAAAATTGATAATACATAAAATAACTTTTATCATTAGTAAAATCGATAATTTTACACTCAATATCGTTTGTTATATATTTCATTGATAAAATTAATTTTATTAAGATAAATAAGATTAAATATTTTATTTTTATAATTATTAAAATATTATTATAAAATTTTAAAATCAAGGGATCGAAGAGAGTCTCGAGTAATAAATGATTAACTTGAGAGTGAGAGAATTAGCCTTAAATTAAACAAAATAAAAAAAGTTAAAAAAATTGTTAATATTCTCCTCACCCTCTTGATTAGAATAATGGAAGAAACAGATCGACAGTTCGAACAGTCTTCTCTTTCTCTCCATTTTTGAACCCTGCCATCCCCCGTCCGTGTCTTACCTGAACCGACCTGCGTCGTGTCTGGATAATTAGTGGGCCGCGCGTGACCAATATTTTCTATGATTTTTTATGGATCCAAAGAGAAGGTGACGCGTGGAGGTGAGGGCGGCTGGCCGCGTCAGACGTCCGATCACCGGTCATACTTATCTTACTAACCGGCTACCCCCTGTCGCCTCCGGCCTCCTCCTCCTATATATGATCGCACCCACCCATCACTTCCCCCGACTGCCCTTGTTGGTCTCACTCTTCTCGTTGCTCTATTCCTCTCATCTACAACACCACAAGAACATAGATAGAAGAGGCGATCAAGAACATGCCTCTGTGGATGAACATGGTGACGGCAGCTGCAGCGACTTCGGTGGTGGCCGGGCGGAGTAAGGAGATGGCCCGAGTCACGGGGCCGTGGAGAGCGGAGGAGGACGAGGCGCTGTTGCGTCTGGTGGAGCGGCATGGTCCGAGGAACTGGTCGCTGATCAGCCGGTCCATCCCCGGGCGGTCGGGCAAGTCGTGCCGCCTCCGGTGGTGCAACCAGCTGTCGCCCCGGGTGGAGCACCGCCCCTTCACTGCCGAGGAGGACGAGGCCATCGTCCGCGCCCACCGCCGCTTGGGCAACAAGTGGGCCACCATCGCCCGCCTCCTCTCCGGCCGCACCGACAACGCCATCAAGAACCACTGGTACTCCACCCTCAAGCGCAAGTCCTCGCCGCCGCCGGTCGACGACGCCGAGGGGTTTGCCATGGCAGTGGATCTCAAGGACGCGCCGGCGGAAAGGCCGTTCAAGAGGGCGAGCTGCGTCGGGGCGGCGTACACGTCTGCGGACTTGGTGATCTGCCTGAGATCCGGGAGCCCGTCCATGTCGGATGTGAGAGACTGCAACCATCCGGCTGTGTGTCTCGTTAACCGTCCGGTTCTGAGGACCGGTGGAGTTGCTGCTTCTCCTCCACACTTGGCCTCTTCCGCTGCCAACGCGGTCGATCCCTCGACGTCCTTGACGCTGTCACTTCCCGGATCGGATCACGTGGGCACATTCAACCGCCACCAGGGCAGGAGCAGCAGCCACAACCACAACCACAGCCAGCATGAAACGACCGCCTCTGGCCACAGCACGCGGCATCTGCCGTTCCGACTCAGCGGCGAGCATTTGGCGGTAATGCAAGAGATGATCCGCAGCGAGGTGAGAAGTTACTTGTCAGGGCCGGACCACAGCAACGTCATGCGAACGCAGCCGCCGCCCGGGACGGCCATCCGTGGCGCCGCCATCAAAGGTGTTGGCTTTCGACCTGTACAGTGAAAGACAACATGTGAGACGAGAAAAACGAAAAGATAATCTTTATCTCTTATTCTGAGCACGACGAACAGTGTTCCTTCGCAGCGAACCGATGCGGCCGGTGACAGCTGATTGATATAACCCTTGTATGCCTCATGTCATTGTTCAACACACAGGAAGACGAGGTGGACTTAGCGAGGCAGCTCAATGGAGTTGGAACCTCAAGAGTGAAGGCTGGTAGGAATAGCAATGGCTATCACCAGCCAACGAAGCAGCAGCAGCAGCGATGGGAGAAAGCATAAACAGAAGAAGAAAAGAAGTCAAACGCTGATAAAAGGCATCACCGAAGGAAGTTGTTGAAGAAATCTGATTCCATGCGAAGATGGATACCAATCTGTCTTTGGCGCAGCAGAGAGAAGAGCTTCTGGAGGGCTTCAAGGAGGGAGTCGATTTAATTGTGAGTGTGGAGGTCTACTAGCAAGAATGTGGGTCAGTATTGGCTCCTGTGAGTGACAAGTCTGTGTTTAAAGCCAGATCTGATACAAGACCAAAGGGGGACTAGGGTTCACCGGGTCCCGTGTTCCGAAAGGAGAGAGATTACCTTTGAATTGGATCCAGCTTCGCGTGCTTACCTTAGGAGGAGCTTCTTCCTTTAACCTCTTGGAGGCGGATGCTCTCACGCCTAGTAAAGCCTGGAGGCAACGGAACACACCAGACTCGGAATGATAAGCACCGACACAAGGAAAACTTAGAATGCCTTAACCTGCAAGCCTGACAGCAAAAAGCAGACAAAGAGTGTGCAATATCAGAAATAGTTATATCGTAACAAAACAATCTAAGATGAACAAGAAAAGGTAGAAGTGACTGACTGACCTGATAAGCAAGTCTAAGAATCATCATTCTTTCTGATAGAGAAAAGTGTAATAGACATAATGGTAAACAAAGTGTGGCAATTAACATCTACAAGTCCAATTACATGACCAGTTGAATGCAACATAGTTTCGCACGTCATTTCTAATCGGTTTAAAACATCTCATGACCCGGTACTGATGGTCACCATCTCATTTGTACCATTGTCAAATTAAAGCTACAATTTTTTCCTGCAAAACTCTGAGCAACATAAACTAAGACATACAACAAAACCAGGCCATAAAAGAGATGCATGGAAATAACACTGAGAACAGATGACTTCTATTTGGTATCAGATTCATCCATTCCTGCGGAACCATCATATGTCGAAAGAAAGAAGACGCTCTGGTTTTTCTGCAAAAACCTGCACATGAAGTTTTGTTGTGTCAGGTCTGGGATTCTAATTGTTATATTTTACAGGACTCAAATTTTGCTATTCATATCGGAAAAACAATAGAATGTCAAGAGAAAAACAAGTAATCTGCTGAAGAAGAAATGTATTAGAAGGTTAGACTTAAAAAGGCACAAAAAAGAAAGACATGCATCACCTATAAAAGATAATCAAATCCACACACATGATAAGTAAATCCATTTGCAGCAACATATGTGACGAAAAAAAGTCTTTCTCACGGTGGACAACAACAAATAGGGGACTGGTCATGGCATACACGAAATCTAACAACTTGGAGCAGAAAGCATACCCAAAGCATCACAAACAGATGACATATCAAAAATCAACATATTTGCTACAAAATAGTGGCAAGTAATGAAGTTATATGTGTGAATTGCCCAGCAACCAATGATACTTATAAACATAATGTGTCTCGAAACCTAAAGTGCAGAACTCTATCGATGACTAAGCATTTAGGGTAAATTAGTTTAGTCAATAATGAAACATAAAGCACCATAAATTAGAATAGGGAGTCGATTCCTACACTTTTCCTAGTTGTACCTACATTTTTATCATGTCTCTTCACGGACATTGGAACTATACAGAGAAGACTAATTTGGCCCTTGAACATGGATCACACACAATGTTTTGGTAGTTTAAAATAAGACAGGTAATTCACATATATTTAGTTGTTTTTTTCTACTATATCAAAGAAAATGTCAAGAACTTACAAGAAAATTAGACAAGCCAGCCTGAACACCTCCGAAAAGTCAGATAAATAGTTTCAAATGAATTGTTAATCCTAAGTTGCTGATTTTCTGCAACTTGCAATTACTGATTGCACTAAACCACAGTCACATTGGAGATGGAAGTGGAGAAACAACAGGTTACAGCATGCATTTGCATGAACGAATTGAAAAGCTTAGGAAGTATAAAGTAACTTACTATAAAACATAATGTGAAAAACATAACTAAAAAGATATCAAGGCCTTCTTTACATGGTATCAAAACAAGCATACTCAAAATCATAAGTAGAAACAATAAAAAAAGTCTTAAAAAGTCATACTTGAGAAAGTCCAACAGTTTCTGCTGTAATTTCACAAGTGCTTCCTCCTCCATGTTGACATAGGCAAGTAATTCAGGCAACTTGACTGCAGAATAAAAAAACAAAGTCACTGAATCAATATATATGATAACATGGTTTAAATTCACATAAAGAAGCTCTAGAAGTTAAACCAATAGCAACAAAACACAACAAACCTTTATCAGGCAGACAGACCATAATACTTTTTCATAATACACATATTAAAGGCCATGCATATGACAACCAAAGTGCTTACCAAGGATACAGAATATTCCTTAAGAGAAATTTCCTCTAAAACAATATTCTAAAAAATATAAAGGATATTTTTTATGCTTTAACGAATAAGATTGTTTCTTAAACATAGATAAGAGGTGTAAATACCATCATTATTCAACCATCAATGTTATTAAAAGATAAGGGCAAAAAACAAGAGAAAAGAAACCAATTTGTCAACCTGTCGATCTATAAGATAACAGAGCAAGAAAAACAAGATAATTATAGAGGCTTGTGGGTTGCACTATGAAGGCCATCTATTATGTCACAATTTGTCCAACAGAAACATTGGAATCTAGTAGATTAAGCATAATGCCTCAGCATAGAAATCAAGTGAATGGCATATAAGCAAATCAATCAAATCATAAGCAGTATCAACTTAAATAAAGAAATTTCTACCGGATAAGAAACAGTGAACACAAAATACAGACAATGTGAGATAGGCCTGTCAGTATACTTTCGAACAGGAGGAAACACAACAAATGATGTATACAGTGCATACCAAAAAGACGTAACAGATGTTCAGCTCCATACACTGTTGAGGGAGACACATCATCACGAACTGCTTCATGATATTGTTGCCGCTCTTTTTTGTACAAAAGCATTGCTGGTAATGCTTTGTCAAAATAGCAACGCAACCCTTTCAAAATCTCGCCAACCGACTCAGCGATCCTTGAACAGTTTTAAAGTCGTTCATATACCCCCAAGCAGCAATAAAACTACGTTAATGTTATTGAAAACAGTATAAAAGTTTAAGGTCATTATAATAATGTAGAACATATGACCACAAAGCCCTTTTAAAGAAAGAATGACACAACACAGACTACAAGGTATAACAAAGGAATATAACACAGATAACCAAAACAAGAGAAATGTGCTAGGGGTTTTCAACACTACAAGGACAAGCATGCATACAAGAAAATAAGCTAATATAGTTTGCAAAGTTTACAAGTATGCATCTCAATGTTGGACATTATCGTATGAAATCAACATCTTGGAGAGATTCAAACCAACTGGATCAGGTTGTAGCACAGGTTTGCACGATCATAGATTTGGCAAGAGGCATCCAAGTTCAAGAGGATTTAATGTACCTTTTAACTTCGATAATGTCAGTTTACAATTCAAACCAGATTATCATATTGGGCTAGGATGGGTTGATCCAGCAAACCACAGACAAATATTCATACAGTGCCAAAGTTAAAGTTCGGATTATGCCACCACAATTGGCTAGCTTAGCAGAAAATCCATGTGGAATAACCTGACAAGTTCAGAACCAACCCCAACCCCAAACAAAAGACTTCATCGTATGCTGCATCAAAAATTATCTTGACTAAATTAATGCATCAACTGAACAGAGTGATAACTAATCACCACAATAGTACAAACCAGATCAGTAACGGAATAAAGAAGAAGTTCTCAAACCATCCTACCCAGGTGTTGAAGATTCCGAGTAAGGATTAGATTTGGATTGAATAAAATCAAGTGACCTGACTAATTTCACTTCTTTTTAAAGAATAAGCTACAAGGCCTTCAACTACTAGGATAGGCAACATAACATCCTTCCCTTCTCTTCCCTCTTTTCCCTTCACTTGCCATTCACACTCAAAATCTGACACAAAAAAGCTCATTAACACCAGCAATCATCTGCCCACTAGAAAGGAAGGAGATTTGATCCATCAATGTGTTATCACTGGGCACTCTGGAGCTTGCCTAGGTGCCTCGGGCATTTTGGAACATTGGCATCTGTTAGCACCTAATGCCTTTAACAAAACTGATTTATTAACACTAACATAAAAAATTCTAGAATGATGAATGTTAATAATCATAGTACATAAATTCCCTTTATGAACTTGATTTTCATCTACATTGGTATCCGAGGAAACCTGAAGCAATTATTCATAGAGTGAAGATCCTTAATGAGGGAAAAAATGTTCCTTAACGGGGAACAGCATGAATTCCTCAACTCATCAACTCAAAGAAAGGAACACGTGATATCAATTATTAGTCGAGAAAGAACCACCACTAAGAAGAAGCAAACCAGTGCAAATATAAAAGGAAATTAGCAAAGATGAAAATTGAGCATAAGTAGACATATGCATTGTTCCATCTTAAACTTACATCCCATCCTTCTTTGTCCGGTAATCAAGGTACTTTTTTAGGATGTCATCAACATTTGGAGAACGTGGAAGCTTGACTAACTGCAAAGGAAACACTATTAAGGCTAAGTGACTTCTATCATTGTAGATGATAGCGTGCATAAAACCTTAGAAATAAGAGAACAAAATAAAATGATGTTATGTAGCAAAACAAAAACCAAATAGAAGATAGTAAAGAACATGAAAAAAACAAGAAATCCACATGATATTGGTGTGTGTGTGTACCCATAAAACATGCCAATAAATATTCCTTATTATAAAAATGTGAAGTTCTAAACTAGTGCAGACACAGATTTGTTTCTGGGTCTCATTTCACATTTCCATCTTTCAAAGCATTTACGATAAAATTTTCGACCAAGATTGACATTGCTGGCACTAGTCTCTTTGCAAACTAGGTTTTGAGTCTTTTGACAAGCAAGCAAGTAGAGCATTATATTTTATATGTACTCATCCTGTTAAAGGTTTCATCATCAATGCAGAAGAACCTCATACAACTTCCAACATGATAGCAATGCATGTGCCTTCACTTCAACACTTTGCAAAGTATTTCAATAAAATCCACTTTTAATCTATTAATCATTATAAATCTGAAAACATAAGTGTGATAGAATGCATAACCATTTATGGTCAAGTAAATGACAAAAAACTTAGCATTAGAAATTAGACAGCATAAGGAATGTAGTTACCTTACCCAGCTGGGTAACAAATTCCCAATCATCAACCAGCTGCTTCTTAAGAGTCAAAGGAAATTGTAATTTTACAAGATTCTCTGATGTTCTCTTGTCATCCTAAAAAATAGACAAAGATGCATCACACAACTCAATGTTAATAAAAAATAAAATAAATCAGAAAATAAAAAGGTGAACAATATGAGTCTTTCTAGGATTCTCAAGTCCATGTTATGAAAAATGTGTGTTACTTCTAAAACTATAGAATTGGACAACTAGGTGAGTTTCCAATGTGCTGCAAGAGAAGTCACACATATAGATATGCTGAGCTAAAGGGAATCAAGTCATCAATTAACCTTTTATAAGGACTTGAAGAAGTAGCAAACTTCTATCATATAATTATTTCAATAGAATTTCAAGGTTAGAAAGGAGAATAAATGGTGTAGAAGCAAATATAGATAGTCGGCTTATAAGGAGGAAAAGCAGTTCATATGCAGATCAAGAAAGCACACCTCAACACCAGACTGAGCCTTCCGCTTCTTGCCCTTTGACACTGGATTTGAAGATAAATGTATATGTCAGATCACATAAATGACAAGGTTTTTCCTAAAAGGATGATAACATATGAAAAAAATTCAACCCATAATGAAGAGATACAGTGCCTATCAACCAATAGCATGGGGTAATGTGCATTGTGCTAAAAGATTTGGGAGTAACATTTGGTACTGCTGTTGACATTTGGACTAACAATAATTATTTTGTCTCTAATCAGTACACAAAAGAGCATGATTCAAATTTAATCAGTTTTGAGTCTCAAGAAACTGTGTTAGGCTGATTACATGGTACCTTGCTGTTCTGAATGAAATATGTTAAGTGGCATTTGGTTCATCAGATATGAAGATTGCAGTGAGAATGGGAATGGCTAATTTTCATTTCTGGAGTTTGGTTGCGAGGAACAGGATTTGAATTCCTATGCAAAGTCCCACCTGCAGGGATTTGAAATCCTACATATCGAAATGAGATATGCATTCCCGCTTCCAAAGATTTAACCAAAATAATTGAAATTAATACATAAAAACAAAATAATAATATTTAAAATTATATAACATAATGCATGATAAATTAATAATATATAACGATAATATAAAATTAAGAAAAAGACTTCAGTGAACATAAAACTAAAAGAACAGCAATAAAATAATATAATCATCAAATTGTCTCAAAATATAATATCTAATGAAATAAATAAAACATGAGATAATATGACGAATAAAAATATAAAAGGATATATAATAAAATAATCTTAAAACAAAAGATGATTCCAGTTCATAGTTAGTTATTGCAAACCATACAAAAAAGGAAGGATTGTAGTTCCAAGAGTAGTTCATAAGTTAATAATTCAAATGAGTTGAAGGATTTGGCCAACCCATTCCAATTCTAGCTGAATCTAAATCCAATACCCGAAAATGAACCAAAACCGCTAAATCATACAAAAAAACTCACATAGATAGAGCTCAAAAGAAATACAAAGCACCAGAATAAGAGCACGCTGACTAAGCAAGTGCGTAGGATCACCTTCCTTGTGTGAAAATTTAAGAACATTTCAATCAAACAGTATAGATTAACCTAAGTAAACAAGTGAAAATTTTTTATTTGCTTCCTGACTACATTGCCTTTTGTGTCCTAATTTCTCACAGCCTTGTGCACAGTCAGCAAATTTTCATCTTGAACATTGTACTCTAAGTTAGGTTCTTTAAGATTGAATCATTCATCCTAGAAATCCTGTCTTTGTACATGACGTTTTGATGCATCTTGAACATTGAATTCTTTTTATACCATCTTTCCCAGTTAATGTAAATGCTTCAATGTGGTAAAAAATCACCCGAGTATTATCTTCACTATGATTCAAGAAGATAAATAAAATTAGAAACAGATACTTAGCAAATGCACTTTTTTCTCACGGCAGTTCTAGCATCAAAGAATTTTCAAGCACTGACTGCAGATGATCCACTGTAGGACCCAAAACACCATAACCAAGTATCTTCTTACTTCCCATAATATCAGATAGAATTATTTACAATGGTACCTAATTGCTTAGGTGGTTTGTATAAACAAACATTGTTGTGAAAAAGGCAGTATATGTTAGTCAAGAAAACAATTTTGGACATGAAACTAAAGAATAAATTTATAATTAAAACAACTGTCATACCAGTGCTCCTAGGATCCTCTTTATCCAATTTTGAATCTGTCAAACAAGGATTGCCACACTATAACTTTTAGATTGCAAACGAATTACAAAAATCAGCTCATCTAATGTATTCAAACAATATGTAACCATTTATATGTAATCAACTACATATATGTTAACAAAAATTAAAGCTCAATTTGTAAGCAATCCAAATCCAATTGAATGATCGGTCGAGGAATAGATTCTGAAGTATAGACAGCTTTACAGGACTCAGCGGAATTTGACCCCAGCTGTCAACATGAAGGCAAACCATATGTGGCTTATTCCCAATCAAACACGGCAACCTTATCAAAAGAATGACCTAGCAATGTTGCGCAGATAGAAGCACATGACTAGGACCTATAAGTAAATTCACACATCTGATTCACGAGTAGAAAGAAGAAGAATTGTTGACACATCTGAGAGAAAAAGCTATCAAATTGTGCATGGTACTTAGTAAATTGTGTTTTGAGAATGTTAAATACTAGAAGAAAACTTTATAATAACTAAGAAGTTTCAACAACTGAAAAAAGACCACTTCTAAGACATTCATGTCAGTCGACACTCAAATTCTATAAACCAATGAGTTGAACAAATGTCAGACTTATGTACATAGAAATGAATATCCAGCATGTATCTTCAGATAGAAGGCACCAGTAACACCAGCTACCTTGGAATGAATACATGAAAGAATCTAATATTTGGTAGATAAATTTTGCCCAAGTGGACAAAAACATGACTCTGTATGAGCATCAAATTTAGATAATATTAACCTCCAAATCAAAATTCCCAGCAGGTCCCACATAAGAAGCCATTATTTTCTAGAAAGTAAGAAAACATAATAATTTGTGACTAAAATTTGTTTTGCCGCTTTCTGTCTCATAAAAATCAATTTCTACAAAGTGTAGCTGTCTGTGCAGCATAAAGGTAAAATTAATTAGAAAATACAAATAATTGAACAGATATTTGGTTCAAGGTCACAAGCATGGTCTAGTTCATTGAAAGACCAGAGAGAACTATATCATAAACAAAACCTTTTGGCTTATTTTGTGTTGACCTTCCAGACTTTGGGTTTTTATCGGTGTTCTGGTTCTTTTCTAGCGCCTGCTGCTTATGAATGTTTTCATCAGTCAGCTTCAACAAACGATCAGTCCCAACCCATTCATCCCAACTGTAGAATTGAAGGAATAGAATAAACCCCGAAGTTAGATTATCTCATCTAGGAGTACCAACATATAAACCAACAAGAAAACATGCATCAAGTGCAAGAGAGAGAGAATATATTTTTATGAACAATACAGTTGCACCAAGACATACTTCTTGCTCCAACCCTGCACAATGAAAAGCAAGAGTTAAAAAAAAAGGGAAAACAATAAATTTTTAGTCCAATAAGAATCTGCTAAAATTTAAACATGCAGACAAAGGGTACAAATGGTCGTCAATAAACATTGCAAGAAGATGTAAAAATAAAAGTTAAACAGAAGATATCGTGTTTGTCAACTAATTTCAAAGAGCTCATAGTTTCCACTCACAAGATAATGGACAAAATATCTCCATTCATCCTTTCGCAATTCGGCTTTTTGAACCTTGAGAAAGATTGAAACCAGCAAATTTAGCAGGCACGAAAGCAATGATTTTAAACAAGGAAAAAGCAAGCACTTCATTCTCTATTTAATAGAAAACCAGAGGCCAAAATGGAAAGTTTGCCTTTTTTTTCTAATAGAGTTCAAGTTGCCTGTTAAGGGAATGGCATTGTACCTCTAAACAATAGTCCAAGGGGGTTATTTTCCCAGTTGTCACCTAGGGGTTCCTCTGTGACAAGATGCCTAATGGTTTCAGTTTTAAATATGTTTCCTCTTATGATTATATGTGGAGGGCATGGCACAGTTAGATCAAGCCATGGGAAAAGGAAAACCATATCAGCAATCTAATAATGGCATAAAACACAAAGTAAATAAATATTTCCAAAGACCTTAGTCACCTTACAACATTGCAATATGACTCCAAGAGTCCATGTTAACGTGGCATATAAAAATATCAAATTCAGCACCTAGTAGAGTCACTAAGTGCCAAGAATGCCATGTAAGCTGTCACATCACCTAAATCAATGTCCCTGCATTGGTGGTGCAATAAATATCAGCTGCTGAAAATCGCCTATGGCAAATCAACATAACTAATGGTCTAATGTAGCTTAGCATAGGAATAACAGTGAACAAGAATGCGGACTTGTTGCTAATCTGATTAAAGTTCAAGGACTATTGCTGCCATTACACCAGGTTACAAATATGGACCTAGCATGTAGCAATATGTTAAGATTCCTTAATTATAGGAGTCCTTAATTTTAGGGATTTGATATTAATCTTTATTTTTCCTATTTAGTTTTTCTGAGTTATCGTAGGAGTTTGCTAGGATTTCTTTGATATAACAAATTAGGAATTGTTATTTTTATTTTTTTAAGACTCCTAGTCCTAGTTGACTAGGGATTAAATAACTTTATAAATATGTAATGTCTTTCACTATTCTTCTCAAGCAATCAAATACAACTCAAAGCCTTTAGTTAACTTGGAGGTTAATTCCCTTGAAACGATCAAAAGGAGATTGATCCTCTCGAAGCGATCAAATCCTTATCTCTTTTCTTAGATAAAACCATAGGGTTTTATTATCTGGTATCAGAGCGATGTTCCTCGACGGTGTGTCCTTGGCGTTCCCTTGGCAGTGTGTCCTCGGTGATGTGTCATCGACAATCCCTCAATCTCCTCTCTGACACTGCCACATGTCCTGACGCTCACGCGGCCAACAGCAACTTCACCTTTAAGGCCAAGTAAGCAGTGCTCATTCCCTTGACCCAAAATCAAAAACAAAACTTAGGAATTACAGATCTACAATCATACGCAATGACTACTAACAATTCTATGAAAGCCCAATTTAAAGTCTTGGAAGCAAAAATTGAGAGCAGGTTGCAAGAAATTCTTAATGATTTCAAAAAGAGTTTGCTTGAGAGTTTAAGCAAAATTCAACAAGATGGAAGTTCAACTTCTACAAGTAAACAACTTGACCGATCTGATAACAAAGGAATAGGCTACCAAGAGCACGATAATGGCTACCCTCGCATAAAAGTAGAATTTCCTAGATGGAAGGATGGAGATCTGACCAGTTGGATTTCTAGAACAGAGAAATTTTTCGCTTTCATAGAACCCCGAAAGGTTCTAAAGTGGAAATAGTTTCAATCCAACTAGATGGGGATGTTATTTAATGGTATGATTAGTATGAAACTTGTCATGGAATTCCCTCATAGGAGCAGTTTAAAAAAAGGGCTTCTTGTTCATTTTGGGCCATCCGAATTTGAAAATATTGAAAGGCAGCTTGTCAAGATTCGCCAAACTTCTACTGTGTTAGAATATCAAAGTTGGTTTGAACAACTACCAAATCGGGCTAAAGACTGGTTTGAAAGACAATTGGTGGGAACATTCATTGAATGTCTTAATTTAGACATTCGTTGTGAAGTTAAGGCTCGCCAACCTCGCACTATGACAGCTGCAATTTCTTTTGCATGAAGAAAAAATTAACATGGAAAATCGTCAAACCAAGAGTATTAATAAACAAGTGACTAGCAAGTCAACTACTCAAACCATTCCTAATCGAAATTCTAATACTAGAAGACTGATTTAAGAGGAACTCAAAGAACAAACAACAAAGGGTTTATGCTTGCATTGTGATGAAAAGTGGAGTAGGGAACATTGATGAAAGCAAGGAAAACTTTTGATGATTGAACTAATCGAGGAGGAACCAGAGATTGAGGCTATAGACTCTAATCATGAAGGTACTGATAATGATGAGATTATTGAACCTGTCACACATACTGTTTATGCATTAGTCGGCTATTCTAATCCTCAAACTATGAAATTTGAAGGGCTTTTAAAATGCCAGTCTGTTACTGTTTTGATTGATACTAGTAGCACCAAAAATTTTATGGAGAGCAAGGTTGCTACACGATTGACCTATTGCATTGAACGTTGTGATAAATTTAAGATAAAGGTTTCTAATAAGCGAATTTTAACTTGTGATAATAAGCGTTCCAAAGTAAAGCTTATCATTCTTCTACTAAAATGACTCCTTTTGAAGCGGTTTATGGTCGACCTCCTCTCATGATTACAAAATACATGTCTGGTTCTTCTAACGTTGATCAAGTGGACAATGAATTACTTGATAAGGATAAGATTATTCAACTTATAAGAGATAATCTCGTAGTCTCACAAGCTAGAATGAAGCAACAAGCTGATAAGCATCGTAGTGAGAGAGATTTTGCAGTGGGTGATTGGGTTTTTCTTCGACTTCAGCCATATAAGCAAACTTCTATAAAGGTTTGGTCTTCTATGAAGCTATCTCCTTGATTCTTTGGGCCTTATAAGGTGTTGGAACGCATTGGCCCAATTGTTTATCGCTTGGACTTGCCAACAAACTCTAAGATACATCCAGTTATTAATATTTCTTGCCTTAAAAAGAAGCTAGGTGAGGATAATATGGTGTAACACCATTTGCCAGATATTTCTTCTATTGGTGAGGTTCAAATCCTGCCTCAAGTCATACTTGATCGACGTGTCATGATGTGTCATAAATATCCTGTCACGGAGGTGCTTGTTCAATGGGCCAACTTACCAATTGAATATGCCACTTGGGAGTCTTACAAAGCATTAGAGGAGAAGTTTCTAGAATTTGTTACTGCTCGGCCTTGAGGACATGACTGTTTTGAAGAGGCGTGAAATGTTAGGATTCCTTAATTTTAGGGATTTGATATTAATCTTTATTTTTCCTATTTAGTTTTTCTGAGTTATGGTAGGAGTTTGTTAGAATTCTTTTGATGTAGCAAATTAGGAATTGCTATGTTTAGTTTTTAGGACTCCTGGTCCTAGTTGACTAGAGATTAAATAACTTTATAAATATGTAATGCCTTTGACTATTCTTCTCAAGCAATCAAATACAGCTCAAAGCTTTTGGCTAACTTAGAGATTGATCCCCTCGAAGCGATCAAAATGAGATTGGTCCTCTCGAAGCGATCAAATCCCTATCTCTTTTCTTAGATAAAACCTTAGGGTTTTATCACAATACAATAATGTGACAACTGATTAGCAAAAGACAAATGCTTATCATCATATCAAGAGGTACTTCAAAAAGGAGTATAAAATACATAACAAACAACAAATTTGGTAGTAATATGCAAAAAGGAAAGCCTAATATGCAGCAAAACAAAAAGAAATTTTATAAGAAAGAAGAGATATGTTTACTAACATGGGCAGGCTTGATCAAAATCAGCTAAGTAACATTGATGAACTTCTAACAAGAAGACATTTTGTTAAAATAATAAACCCAATAGAGTCCTATGAGTTAATAATCAAGAACTAACACATAGCAAGTCATGAACCGCCTAAATTAGCAATGCAAAGAGAATCCATTCCCCAATATCTGAGATCTACCTAGGACAGACATGCCTTCGCAAACATAGATAGTTTTGTTCATTTGCTTGTCAGTAAATCAAGAATCCCACTATTATTCATGCGACAAAGAGCTTCACTACACTGGCTATAAGACACAATGCACTAATGGATGCACTCCTGTTAATCATCCTTCACTTGAGCCACTATCTCTTCTTCCCTGTCCATGTCTGAACCTCATTTTGATGATTTACCAACTAGTTTCACATAAATCTCAAATTCCTAATGCTTGTTCAACGTTCTTTAGTCGATGGACTCTAATGACTAGCTTTGGCCTTTTGGGAGAGAAAAATAAGTTCCAGGGTAAAGTGTCTTTCATGCTCATTACTTCAACTTTAATCAATGAACGTGCTCGAAGAATCCATGTGTTCAGAGATAATAATTCAACTTTTAACTTAGGAGCTGAAATCAGCACAACACCGCTAGAATTGACCGGTTCTGTAAATTAGGATTCATGTCATATGTATCTTTAGACACTTCTTCATACATACTCTTGAGACACACAGAAAAAACACTACTCTCGACACTCTCACGACACCCGTTTTCTGGCAAAATCTTGAATAACTACAGCAGATTTCTTGACAAGGGTAACATCGAATATCGTATGCAGCAACCAAACCGAAGGAACAATCGAATCTCATGCGAAGCCAAGGGGATGCAAGAGGATAAAAGGTAAGGAAAAGATCGGGAACCCTAATCTGGGAGGATAGGTCGAGAACCTTGGCTTCGTAGATGAGAGGGCCATGGTAGGCGAGGACCTTCTCGCCCTCGACGAAGGCACCGTCGGCGCTAGGATCGGAGGCGTCCGGGGCGGCGGCTGTAGCGGCGTCTCCTCCTCCGCCGTCTCCCTCCGTGGAGGTCTCCTCCTTGACGCCTGCTCCGGAGTTCGCACTCCCCATCACTAACCCACACTCGGAAGCCGGAAGCCCTCCGCCACTTCAAGTGGTAAACATTTCTATTTATTTATTATATATTTACGGCGAATATATATATATATATATATATATATATAGTATTTAATTTTTAACACATAAGAAAATATTCTGGATTATTATTTTTTTTAAATATAAAAAATGATATTTATGATTAAAATTTTAAAGAATATTCAAATCAATTTGAACCGGTTTGAAATTTGCAAAACCGAACCAATCTAAGGTCTTTTATTCAAACCCAAAGTAGACATCACTTGATGTTGACTTTTCGAACCACAAGAAATTGTTCGTTTGAGATAGACCTCACAAGGTTTGACCTTTTAGCAGTTTACTACATGATCATATACTCCAAAAGATACTTGCAAACGTTAGATGAGATGCTAGTAAAATATACTTGTCACATATGACAATCTTGTACGATAGCCACACACACACACACACCCCATATCACAAAGCACAAATCGGACTGACTGGTCTTGCAATGGTTCTCTCAACTTATAATTCCACCGGAAGGAGGAAGTCATAAGATACGGCAGCAGGACTTGCTCAAGGGTCGAGATTGCTGCCGGCCACATCGATGACGAAGCGATATCTCACGTCGTTGCGCTCCAGTCTCTTGAAGGCCTCGTTCGCGTAATCCATCTTCACCACCTCGATCATGGAGGTCACCCCCTTGGCCTCGCAGAACTCCAGCATCTCTCGAGTCTCCTGCATGCTCCCTATGAAGCTCCCGGTGATCGACTTCCTCCCTGCACCAAAAGAATTAAGGAAGCTGTCCGGGCGGTACACATCAACTGGTGGCAGTGGTGGCAGTATGCAGGTTACCCAGCATCACCATGGGGGTGAGGAACTGCAGTGGCTGGTTGATGACGCCCAAGAGGATGAGCTTGCCGTTCAGTTTGAGCAGCGAGAGGTAGGGCTCCAGCGGATGGAACGCCGGTACGGTGTCGATGATGTAGTCGAGGGTGTCGGCGGCGGCGGCCATGCCGGCCTCGTCAGAGCTGACGAGGTAGGAGTCGGCGCCGAGGTGGTGGACGGCCTCGGCGCGTTTCTTGTCGGAGGAGCTGATGACGGTGACGTGGTGGCCCATGGCCTTGGCGAACTTGACCCCCATGTGGCCGACGCCGCCCAGGCCCAGAACTCCGGCACTCAGCCCGGTCTCCATAAGCCCGAAGTGCTTCATGGGGCTGTAGACCGTCAGCCCTGCACACAACAGGGGAGCGGCTTGCTCAGGCGCTAAGCCTGGAGGAATCTTCACCAAGAACCTGGAGATCATCCGATGGCAGCACAAACATGAATAGAATCAAATTATATGCATATGATTTTAACGCTTTCAATCATAGGATCCAATATCATATTAACTACCCACTTAGTACCTTAAAAAATTAAAATCATCAAAATCATATACATACCAATTTGTTGAACTTAAATTTGAAGAATAAGTTATAGAATTATATTAACAGTTTTTTATGAGTTAACATATCACGTAATCCTCAATTAACTCAAACTTAAGGAAAGAAATTTATTTGTTATATTTTAAAAATATAAAAATTATTTTAAACATGAATAAATCATAAATTTTTAATTATTTTTTTAAATTTAAATTATATATATTATTATATTAAAATAATTTATTATGAATCAATATATCATATATTCAAATGTCTGTTAACTCAAACTTTATGAAAGAAATTTATATGCTATATTTTTTTAAAATATAAGAATTATTTTATACATGACAAAACCATAAGGACGTCCATAACCAAAACCACATAGACTAAAATAAACTTTAATCCTTCTAAATATTATTAAATTAATTTTATATATAAAAAATATTTTTTAATAAAAATAATTATTTTTATCCCAAAGCATTTCACACTTATATATCAAAATATAAAAGCTATTTTCTCGATGGAAAAGTAAAATCTAAAACGTGACACACTTTTAACTATACAGGGGCAAAATCAGAGTTAATAGCCATCTAGATACTTCAAAAAATCATTAATATATAAATTCATATATATCCATGGTTAGAGATATGTCCAGAGTAATATTTGGACACTATATATATATATATATATATATATAAACATCGGGGATAGGATTTTATTTTATTTTATTTTGAATGGATGAAGAATTGGTACTATCTTTTGATAGGTCACGCATCAAACTATTGCCTTTCTTTTCTCACCAATCTTATATGTACGTACACGAAAAAGCATCTATTATCGTCTGAGCTGTCTATTATTAGTGGTTGGCTTCATTCATTTGTTGACGTGAAGTAACCGTGAGAGGACAGTGGGAAGGGAAGAGATGTAGTAGTTTACTGACTTCTGATCCACCACCATGGCGGAGGCGAATCCGCCCTGGGTGGGCTTGCCGTCGGTGTACACGTCGTTGTAGGACCAGATCTTCCTGCTGCAGTACTGCTCGGTGTCGGCCTTGCACGGCGCGCACTCGCGGCAGCAGCCGACGATCACGCCGGCCCCAACTGTGTCGGCCACCTCGAACTTGCTCACCTCCGCCCCCACCTCCACCACCTCCCCCACCACCTCATGCCTTCACAGAAATCATCCGCCAACTCAATATATATATAACAAAGACATGGAGAGAAAAAGATGATGTGTAGTTATAGACGATGGATAATACCCAGGAACCATGGGATACTTGGACATGCCGAGGTCATTCTTGGTCTGGTGGAGATCAGTGTGGCAGACACCACAGAAGAGCACCTTGATCACCACATCTTCTGGTCCAGTCTTCCTGGTTTTGATCACCACAGTTACAGTAAACAAGACGTGGTTCCCACAGTATCAGCAAGTTTAGGGTGTATTAACAAACCTTAAGGTGTAGCTGTAGGGAGATAAGATCCCACTGGAATCTCTTGCAGCCCATCCGGTGACCGTCTTCTCCGTCTTGAGGCTGCCCATGTTCCCTAGGTGGAAGAAGAAGAATTAGAAGAAGTGAAGTTCTATGGTGGGGGAGTAAGCTTTAAGAAAACACCAGGCCTGAAACCTATGGCGCTGGGTAACCGTGGACTGTACATCAAGGCAATGAATGGCGTGAGGGGGTGGTTTAAATGAGGTGGGGGAAAGAGATGGATGATGGAGTTAGTGGAATGCGGTAGGTGGAAGTGATGAGAAGGGCTCAGATTCATGCAAGTGGAGCACCAAGATCCTCCACCAGGTTGGTTTCTAGGATGGAGGTGTTGCCCCACTGAAACAAAGCCAGGATCATCTTAAAGACATACACATGCCTGTAGCAAAGAAGATAAGCAGTAAACTCACAATTGTGGACATCCGGAAAGAACCTTCATTGATCAATTATATGTAAGCATAAAAATCTGTAATTATGCTAAATCAATTATACGGAATTAACCTATATGCCAGGATTGAAATTCAATACATAGATCTAATTATACGATGCGTACCTTTTGATACCATCCGTTCAGAGATCTTATTAATCCGATCGCGCTGCGGAATCAGCGCGGAATCTACAGGGAGTTAGATTGATGGATTTTGGGGAGAGGGTTTTGGGGAGAGAGTCGAGGAGAATAACTGAATTCCTCAACGGAGAGATGCGTCTATACGTGTCAACGTTATAACGCTCTAATACACTAACACACCCTCAACCCCTAGGAATATCTCCGAGGAATCGTTCCGTAGTGGACTTAGTCTATATTGGCTAAAATATCACAACGGAACCCAATTAGTTATTCTATCTTATTCAATTATAAAAAGGGCCACATATTCTAACATTATATTCCATAAAATAGAAACTAATTTTACATAATCTTTTAATATTATGAGTGGAGTCTCTAAATGACTTTTGCCATCAGATCACTTATGACATCTTCTGTAGATGAGTACATACTCGTACTATTATAATTAAATCAAGGATCTCTACATCATATTGACCCAAGCAGAAATTTTGAGTTCAATTAACTTTCAAATTCTTATTCTGCATAATCACATCCCAGTAAGACAAACAAGCATGTATTCTTTCTAGATATTGACCTATTTTTTTTCCTTTTGTTATTTTGTAACCATGTTTCATGAATTTACTATTCAGTTTAATTTTAGGGAAATCTCTAGATTAGATTTATCCTAAGCCTCAAATTTATTTCTTTATGGTGTATATAATGGTTCATATGATATAAATTCTGCAACTGTGAAGAGGTCAATCTTCCCAATCATTCTTAATCAAATTTCTAATGAAACGAGCAAAAACAATGAGATACTGCAGCAAATTTTAATATAATATACAAAAGAAATGCTAACTGGTAGTACAAACATACCACATTGCTCAGAAAGAAGTAATATCAAAACCATTGTATATTTTCTTACCTTATTCTCCAAGAAATAAACAGGAATGCTTCCCTATGATTCAATGGTGTTTATATCATCCAAAGCACACAACAAATGGAAGAAGAGCGATTCATTTGTTTCGTGTTATTTTCCTTTTTACTGATTCATCTGTTTCCATCTATAGTGTCATTTCTCTATGGAGACTCATTTGTTTCCATCTTGGGTGTCATTTTCCATCTAATAGTTCATTCGTCAACAAGTAAAGAGATGTATCATATCATCCTTAAGTCTTTAATAGTACAACTTGAGGAGAAGAGGGTTACCTTGATCTCCTCAATAGGCAATCTTAATATATCTTCTGCATCCATCTGTCCTCAATCCTTGTTATAACAACTAGCAAATGAGCCTGGAATATATACAGAATACGGATTCAGTTGAATTTATTTCTAATAACTAACATGAACAAGAAAAATCGAGAGAATTCAATTCTCACAATGTTCATGCGAACTATAACAAGGATAAGTTGTCTTACAACAATATGACTAAATTTCTTCTAGAGGTAAGAATTTGTGCACTTCATTTGAAACACTGAAATAAGCTTTATCTCACACAAAACTAAAAGCCACCATTTCCCTGTGATTTGTTCAGGGTGGAACGACAGACTTCTTCGATACCAAGTCTTTGCTACCGCCTACTTT